AGAAGAGAGCAGATCCCAGAAGTGTAGCAATCATTCAATAAGTGTTCGCCAGTGATTGGCATCTCAACTGCTGTACTGAATTCGTGATTTATTTATGAAGTAATTATTGTTAACTAATATTAATACTGTTAATCTCAATAAGCCGGTGATTGGCATCTCAATTTTTATAAATTATAATATTAGTAAGCCAGTGATTGGCACCGTAAACAGTTATAATTAATTGAACTATATCCACCAGTATTGTAAGTTCATAAATATTCTTAATAAACTTTATTTATTTATTTTGCCCTCGTCCAACCACACATAATCATCACTAATGTACTACTACCTTAACTTTTGTTGAGGATGAAAAGATGTAAAGAAAAGAAATAAAAATGAATTATGTGCGTGATACGATGAACAGTCCGATAGGAAAAATATTATTTACATAATTATTATGCACATCAGAACAAAAAGAAACAATCTACCTACATTAGAGTGGAACATGAAACACTGCGTAATTTGTAATATATCACTTGGATGCGACAAGAAAGAAATTGAAAAAAAAAAACAACGAAAATATTATTACAAGAGTCGATCGAGTAATCATTTGAAAATAATGCATGAGAACTTGTCATTGTTCTTTGACAAGCGGTCTAAAACCAATTGATTATGCTGAGAGAGCATGCAGTCGTTTTTTGAATGCATTTGACGATGGATACATATTCAACGTTTCTTGAACCTCTTCGAAGAATAGTATGTGGAATCATTCACTTTCCATTTGTTCACAGCCAGTTTATATTCAGTGCTACAACGTTTTCGATTGAGGTTGTTTGAGAGCTTGGAACTTTCATGAAAATGAGCGCTGATAAGATAATGTACAAGGTTATATACCGTACAGAGGTGAACACAATTGCCTTTTCAATGTATGTCTGAAGTGTTGCGATCAATGCAGTCTTCTTAATATGTTGTAAATCAGTGGTTTTCACGTCCGGGAGCTGCATTACCTCTTTCAATGGTCTGATAGGTCGCACTACCTTCCCCAATATAAGAACTTACCAATTTTTATGAGTGCGGTCTTGAAAGACGGTTGAAAACAACCGGCAGCTCAAGGCTCTCATGCCTGATAGGTGTGAAGATGTATGCGAACGTATGTGAAATTATCACTGAGTCAAGGTGTCCGCAATACCGAACTCCGCATTAGATTACATCAGAGCAGAGTATTCGGTATACACACAGTATTCATTCTTGTAATTTTGTGCGAGAGATTACAAATTTTTAGTTTGTAATGTTCAACTTAACGACGTTGGCAAGAGGCATACACGTTGGCATACACCGATATTTCGAGATTAGCGAGCAGAACTCGGTTTAGTATGCGCAAAACTTGCTTCACCCTGCCTTCACTCTATTATCTTGCGTATCAATACCTCACACCTCGTTTGATATAACAGGTATTCAAAAATGGATAAAAATCTTAAAATGAACGAAAAAAGAAACAAACAATGCGGATTTGGCTTAGTTTCTAAATTGGCAACCTGGCACTGCTCTATAAATTAGCTTTCTTCCAGAAGCAGGAATTTAAAAATTCTAGAAACAACCATGACGGACCAACCAACTCGACCATTTTCGGAAAAGAGTCCACTGATCGCTGGACGGGTCCCGAAATGCCGTTTTGCGACCAGAAAAGGAAAATCTGACTTCCAGTTCGAATGAATTTTTGGTTAGAGGACGTTTTGTCAACCCTGACCAGTCCGAACTGGCAAGCCATTCACTACTCAAAGCACCAGAGCGATGGCTGTTACCCATGAGCACAAATCTATGATGAACCTTTCTAAACCCATCCAAATCTTACAAACACATCGACAGCGTCGACCTCTGGTTTAAGTTGGAAATCAGGTGAAATTGAATACCGCCCAGCTAGTAAACACCTCATAGTTACTGGTGACTCAAATTCCATCACCCAAAAGACAACTTTGGATCCATCAGTGCATAACCTAACATATGCAACAGTCATTCACTAGCCAGGTAATACCGATTGAAAGAGCCCTAATAACCACACGAAGTGGCCGGAAGGCGAGGTTCCTTGAACAGCTCTTCCAAACACGAAAAACACCAATGAAAACAAACAAAAATAAAGCAAAAGAAACGAAAGAATAACGATACCCCCCTCCCTAAAACTTTTGCTCTTTCTATAAAGTTCACGTCAAAAATAGAAATATAAAAAACATCACAAAATGCAACACATATCACATCACAACTTACAACACATACAACATATCACATTAACATCGCATCACAAACGTTACAGCATCAAACAAAAAAAGAAAANAGGACATCTATTCTTCATCATCGCGCAACCTGATCAATTCAGCATGTTACATGCATTATCGTGAAGTGGAACACTGCTCTAGAGTAATAAATTTGTTATCATCAGAGAGAACAATAAAAAACAATAATTATAGCAATATGACTCGTCCGAAATGAATCCGACGAAACATATCCAAATAACCAAATCACTGTGCTCGGTTACTTAATCTGTTATTGCGTTCGAAACAAAAATTAATGAAGTATGATACGCGAGGTATGAACTCATTGTAGAATATAAACTTTTAAAAAACATAAGCCTAAAAAGAGGTATAGTACAGCAAATGAAAGAGATCATGCAGATTTTGATAAAACTTAAAGAGGTCGATAAGAAACTAGAAGCCTTTAAATATCCTACCTTTACGAAGCAAGGGCATGCTGTAGCTTATCAGTTATAGTGGCTTGATAAGGACGGATGGATTGAAAAAAATAACTGAAGTTTGATCTATTGGTTCGATAGCTTTAACAAGGAGAACCGTTAGGTTATATTGGCGCTAAAGAGGGACGTCAGGTTAAACTGGCGCTAAAGAGGGCCAAGAGGGCCATTGACTTTTATTGGCTCAAAAGAGGGTCTATGGGTTATACCGGCTCTAAACAGAGCCGCTGGAGAATCTCACTCCCAAGTGTATGCAAGGAAGTGTTGCGTAAAGAGTAGTGATTGGATCCGACCGACAGTCGGTCGGAATTCCGACTGTCGGAACGCCCAAATGCCATTTTTGTCGGAATGACAAATTGCCAACTCGGTCGGATTCCGAGCGAACGAAAATTCGAAAAAAATACATCAATGTGCTTATATTTAAACTATCCTATCTAGGTACCGGGTTCAACCCGGTACCTAGATAGGATAGCTCCTTACAATTAGGTTATTCGTCCATTCTCTAGGCCTCCATGCACTCGAACACCTATAAGGGAGCTAGAAAATGCAATATCTGTGCCCCTGATCCAACTATGAATGGTTTTGATAAACCGTTTTGACCACTTTCAAAGTTCGAAAGAGGGAATATAAACCGATCTGAAACGGTTCGGGAATGCAAAAGGTCTGTTGGAACAACGTACAAAAAATGTAAAGTATAGGTAGTCGAAGAGATGTGTATACTTTAAGAAATAAAAAAAATGTAAAAAATGCGGTGTTTCAAGCATATGACCGTTAAAAAACTTTTGTATTTCTCCAAATCTCTCACAAATGGATAAATTTATGGGTAATTTTGCACATTGCTTGTCAAACAATCACAGAATTGCGTTGGGAAAGGGTAATATTCCATTTTTTAACAAAATCGCACAAATTAGGAATCACATTTTATATTACTGCGAAATATTGCAAACGAGATCCAGTTGGCTTAGCTCAGTCGGTAAAGCGTTAAATGAGGGTCTGAGGTTCGAGTCCCCTAAGTGGCTGATGGAATTTTTTGAGTGTCTCTGAACATTTTATTGAATACCCAACATTTTTCTTCAATTCTAAAATCCACAGAAACTTTTCGAGTGCTTGGTTCTTTTTGGGCAAAAATGACCACATTCTAAATTAAACTGCTGGGAAAGTGAAATTCAAGGGTAAATTTTTGAGTAAATTACCAGGGCTGGCATAATTTGGGTGGGAATCTAGACCGTTGCTCGCATGTGCGGGTGTTTCGGGTGATAAAATGCACTGATAATGAGTTCGAATCGCTCCTGCAGTCGTCTGCCACTCTCGAACTGCGAACTGTTTGAATCGCGTTTCTTATCACTGGCTCATCAGTTCAAGCCGTTTGTGATTACTTTTAAGGCTCACAACAGGGAATATAAGATGATCTGAAAGTGCGAATGAATGGAACAGGTCCGCTGGGACACCACAGATGAAAAATAAATCAGGTGTGACGCAGTTGTCTTGTAAAGAAAATGTCGTCGTTCCAAATGTCGTTGTCTTGTAAAAAAAATTAAAAAATGTGGTGTTCCAACAACATGATCATTACAAAAACTTTTTGCGTTTTTTCGCACATCTCACAAACGGATAACATTCTTAATAATTTTACGCNAGTTGTCTTGTAAAGAAAATGTCGTCGTTCCAAATGTCGTTGTCTTGTAAAAAAAATTTAAAAATGTGGTGTTCCAACAACATTACAAAAACTTTTTGCGTTTTTTCGCACATCTCACAAACGGATAACATTCTTAATAATTTTACGCATTGTTAGTGGAACTGGGCAATACTCAACATTATCGATATCACATCGAGCAGCAACCAATCGTTGTATTGCTCTAGACAAACAACCAAATAATAACAACTGGAAATGTGATTGAATATCATCGAATTTTTTTAAAACTCTCACAAACGGATAAAAATTTTTGGCATGTTTAGTGGATATTTGTAAACTTCTCTGGAGAAGTACGAAGCAGTGAAAGCTTTCTTCCTGGCCTACCCATCGTTCAGGAACCACTCCACTTATATCATGGGTGAGAGTTATGGTGGCATCTATGTACCAACGTTGACAGCTCGCATTATCGATGGACTGGACGAGTTTTAGATCAATTTGAAGGTGCCACTTTCAGTTGTGTTGTTATTGTTTTTGTTGTTGTTACTGTAATTGTAATGGTGATTACTGTACGGTTACTGTACTTTATCGTGGTTACTGTATAATTTACTGTACTTATGATTATCATTATTATGACTATTATTATTGTAGGGAATGGCGCTGGGGAATAGCTATGTGAACGAGGGTCTGAATATCGATATGTCAGTACGTTACGCTTACGGTCATGGCATTATTGACGAAAAGACATGGACCACACTGGAGAATGAATTTTGTCACGGCTGTAATGAGACGTGTGCTTTGACCCAAGTGATCGTCACTTCTCGGGATTTTTCAAAGTATTCGAGACGCATTTCTTGCACTATTGGTGAGCTTTGTCCGTTCTGCTGAAACAATTTACCCTACCCCAATCCGTCGCTAAGTGACCGCTATCGGCGCTCACCCAGTCATCGCGACCTTTGACCTCTGACCTTCTTGAAGAGGTCAAAAATATGTGAGAACCATTCAATGGCCATTTCCGCCCATTTTGTGAAACTAGGGATCAAGCAAAAAGTAATACCACAAGAAAAAAAGATGAGGTGGCAAAACAACTAGCCTCTACGAAAACATGCGTGGCCACTGCTCGCTGCGAAACTTCGGTGACCTCTTCCATCCTTCTTATTGACCCGACCGTCCTATTGTTTAGTCGGATCTAATCCTTGTAGCATGAAAACATTTCAAAAAAAAATCAAAAAATCGATGGACGTCACGTTTTAGTAGGGTCTGATTAGAGAAGCTTTTATCACACAAGAAGAACTCCAAGTTCCTGAATAGATGATAATCTGTTTATCCGAATTGGTGAAAACGTTGTTCGTGCCGCGTGTGGTCTGGCGTTATCCTGTAAAAGGATCGGACCACTTCTGTTCATCAGTACTCGCCTTATTCTCAACAACTGATCCCTTGCCACCTGAAGCGTATGAGAGTGGTATTTGGCGTCAATGGTTTGCTCACATTCAAGGAATTCGAAACGCACGACACCAGAAAACGGTGAACATGATTTTTCGTTGGTGCAATGGCGGTTTCGGCATCATTTTTGATGGATCACCTACGTCCGCCATTGAGTTGACCTCTGCCGATTATCATATTCAATCTACTTCTCATCCACGGTAACAATTCGATCAAGGAATGGATCACTGTTGTTTCTGAGCAGCAATAAAGAACAAATTTGCAAACGTCTAAATTGCTGCGCTTCATCCAGCTCATGTGGAACCCACTGATCCAACTTCTTGACCTTCCCAATCTATCGTGGTGGGTTGAGATAGTTCTTCGGCAGACAACAAGTTTGTCTGCCATCTGTGCCTGAGACTGAGTGGGGTCCGACTTCACCACCTCTTTTGTTGTTGTTGAGGTGTGAAGGGCGACCTGACCTCAGTTCATCTCCGAGGTTCACGTTTCTGGCAGCGAAATTCTTGAACCAATCCCCAACTCTGGATTTGGAAGTGATTCCCTTACCAAACGCTTTGTTGATATTAGCCATCGTCTGCCTGTTCGAATGATCAAATTTGAATTCATAAAGCATGATTCCGTGAATTATTTTCTCATCCATAGCTTAGATTCAATGCTCCGAAAGTCCCCAAATTAAGAGGATGAAGACCAAATACGAGTATATTCGGATAGCGCAGAAAGTGGGCTACAAAACAACATATAACACTAGATACAAGAACTCTACAATGAAACGCAATGTTCCATTATATTAATTTGCCTGGGTAGTTGATCAGGAACTTTTTGCCAGACCTAATAACAAGCCATTAAATTATATTCCAAAAACGCATTCGATAGACCGATAAATACATCAATAATGAATAGGAACGAAAATACTTCAACCGACTCACTATACGAATTTTCTGTTGCAAAACGCAACATTCTGAAGACTTTTTCATTAAAGACGTAAAGAAAATGACTTAATTTTATCATCACATCACTGAATGAAGAACGTCATTGAACAATAAACTTGCTGAATGCGGAATCTGTTTATTTATTTATTTAATCAGCAAATCCAATTCACTACGAGTTTATGCCTCTCTGTTATCACCAATACCACTGATATCACTATTGTCGCGACTAGTGTTTAGTCGCGATACAAAATACAAAAAAACAAAACAATACAAAATTCGAAAAATTTAAAACAAATATTCACAAAACATACACCTTATCTCGTTGCCCCATCTTAAATATCGGTCCTCCGTGTTTTCTCAGTCATGTGTGTTGAATCTATGTCACAAATTTCGTTTACATACATTGCGGTCGGTTTGTTCAGTTCATTCGCTTTACAAATTATTATTCATTTACTTTACGACGAAGTCTTTATTTACTTTACAAATTATTCACCCTGAGTTATTCTTTCACTTACATCTGTTGGGATGAATGTTTCAATCGTGTGATATGTTCACGCAATTATCATTATTATCGTTACAATTTCAATGGTTTAATTACCCAAGTTTGGGTTCTGGAAAGGTAAATTGAAGACGAGACTTCAGTCCAAACAAACAAACGACCAAGCCACCAGTCCTAAATCCAACAAGTCAAATCAAATCAAATTCAGTCCCAACCTCCAGATGTCAAACTGTAGTGCATCGTAATTGTACCATTTCTTTGTGAACCAGTTCGAACAGTTCAAATCAGCTCGTGGTCGCCGTTCTTATCAAGCTCCATAAATTTCTCAACCCAAACCAACCACCCAATTATCCTCATCCAATTTCAAAGGTGTTAAGCAAAGTTGTGGTCAAAGAGTGCACTCCCAACATTCCACATCCTACATTCCTCTCCCGAGATTCCACTTCGACATTCCACTCCCAACCTACCACCCCTCATCAATCCTCATTCATACCCCACCCCAATCTATCAATATCTCGAACAAACAAATTTTCAAGCCAGCTGAAATCAATAATTCTTCAAAGATCGCTTTGATCAGATCATCAACGCCAATCAACTCGAACAATTCAACGACTTCAGTAATCTGTTGGTGTTTGTTGTTAATCATTTCCCTTGCCGTTAAATTAGCTAAGGTCATATTCAGTTCACTAAGAACATTGTCTCGCTTTATCGTTGTTGTAACCGTTTCAATAATTTTCATTCTATATTGAATATTGGAGAATCGTCATACTATTTAATTATTCGTTTATCATTGAATAGTTTGTTAATTATTGATTCAAAACTAATCCATCTTTAAAATTTGTTACTTTGACGGCTTCAGGTCAAAACAAACTACCCACTCAAACAAAAAGAATTTAGCCATTACAACTATATCACCAATATCACATTCTTCCTTCTTTGGTATTCTTCTTTTCTCGCAGCTAACGATAATAGCGTTCGGAATCATCTGTCATCTTTCGGTGTCAGCAGTAAACAAATAATGTAACCGAATAGATCCATAGCAATCGGCGTATCAAACATTCCATAATCAAGCCGTAACGAATGCCCGTTGCCATAAATAATTTGCACATTTGAATACAGCCGAATACTAATCTATTAAATAGCCGCAACAATGACGAACATTGTGTCGATCACACAGAGCAGTGGTTCTTATGGGGATTACCCATTTTGAGTAATTTGGGGGTCTCGTTCGGGGAAACCGAGGGAGTCGGGAAATATACTCGCTGACATCGTCTCTCATGAGTAATAAGAATTAATTGAGTACTTTGGTATGACAGGAAAGATCATTGGTTTAGTGTGAGACAATCGTATCTCTAAATCTGATGATATCAATTTCTTTTTTCAATTTTGACAGTTTCTGATTCCTCAATCGCTTATGAATATTTTTTCAACCGGCATAATACTTTTTCCGTGATGGACGACGGCATTTCTTATGATCTTAATGATTGAAATGCTTGAAAAGTAGAATGGGAATTTCAAAGTAGACTCAATGCACCAGTCGCATCTCAAAATCCTCGATAGTTCGAATTTATTTTCGTCCCTCCGATGAATTTCTACATTTACATTAACCATCACTTTGATGGAATGATTGATTTACCGTTCATCTCGAAAATAATTCCTCAAATGTTTATTGCATCTTCCTTCTTCATGAATTATTGAACTTGCTATTAGATTTCATTTCTTATCGCTAAAGAACGTTTTTTTTTCACTGCTTTTCGCGTGGTTGCCGAGGTTCACATTGTTTTTGCAATGGAAAAAATACGGTTCTAAAAATGTAATACTTGTTTTGTTCCAGAAAATTAATTTCTTTCACGTCATGAGGAAATTTCCGGACCGGTTTTCCTTTCGTTTCCGACATTATATGTAGACATTGTAGGTTCTTGTATCAGGAGGGGGGGAGGGGGTAAGGCGGCATTCCAGAACATCAAAATGGGCAATGGAGCAACCGAGCAGGAGAACCACTGGCATAGAGCGATCGGCAAACCAATCCCTCAGTGTCAAAACTAAAATCGAATGCGGAATCTATGATTTCTAAATTCATCATTCGTATCTAGTTAAAAAGTATTCGAAAATAAGATGAAAGCGCAAATATGGCTCTGATAAAAGTAAGCTTTGAGAAAGAGTTTAGTTTTACCTCATGAATATGCTAAATTTGTTAATTTCACGCAAATTAAATACCATTTTCGCAAATAATGTACGTAATTAATCACACAACCAAAATTAATTAGACTTTGATGAAAAAAATCGGGTATAAGAACGTGGGCTGAACGAACAGTTAGTTTGTAGTAGAGTCACATGGGAATCATTGTGTTTAGTTTGTAGCGGTATTTTATAGTGGAAATGAGGGCAAAAATTCATGAGAAAGAGCCTTGAGAGAGAGAGTCTCCGTTGTAAATCACGAATCTCCGTGGAAGTGGATGATCGTATTGACGAGCAGTCTCTGGAACAGTGGTTCTCTTGCTCGGAAGCTCCACTGCACTCCTCAATGATCTGACAGATCATTATTAACTCTCTCTCTTCATTGCAAGAATTTATTATTCCTGCGTACCATCTGCTTTTTATGACTATACAAGAACTTACTATTTCTACGTATAACGTCAGGATCAACCGGAAAAGTGGTCCGGAAATTTCTCAGAAGCGTGAAAGAAATTAATTTTCTGGAATGAAACAAGTATTTTTAGAACCTTTTATTTCACTGCAGAAACCATAAGAACCTCGGCAATCAAAAACGGAAAGCAATGAAAAAACATTCTTCCGCGATAAAAAATGAAATTTAACAACAAGTTCAATAATTCATGAAGAAGGAAGATGCAATAAACACTTGAGAAATTATTTTCGAGATGAACGGAAAATCAATCATTCCATCAAAGTGATGGTTAATGAATAAGTAAAAATTTATGGGATGGATGAAAATAAATCTGAATTATCGAGGGTTTTGAGATGCGACAGGTGCATAAAGTCTGAAATTCCCATTCTAC